GGGACATAGCAGAGGGTGGGGGATGGGGAATCAGGGATGGCAAGACAAAGGGCAAGGTATGCAGGATGTAAGAATTGGAAAATTATTTGCTGAGAACATGTATGTTGATGTGCTTGATTGAACCAATGCACAGTGTATTTTGGATGGAAAATTCATTGGTGTGTTGTGATGGTGTATAGTGAATTAATGTAGAAAATTAAAAAAAATGAAAAAAAATAAAAAAAGAAGAGAGTGAATGAATGAATGCATTTTAAAAACTGTTAAAATTGGTTATTAATAAAAGTTAACATCCAGGAATTTATAAATAAACATAACACTAGGTTCAAGAGTATCTTCATACTAGGATATTTATATCACTCTTAGGCCCACATGCTTTCTTGGGTGAAAGGTAGTGGGTAGGAAATTGAGATAAATTAATAATTGCTCTTGAAGGTGCTTCAAGATGAATGAAGGTCACATGTGTCCAGGACTGACAGCAAAGATCCTAGGGATCTGACTGGAAAGGCCATCACCTGGGGAGTAGATAATCGGATTAGTGGGTCAGCCCCTGGAAGGTCATAACTCAGTATTTTAAAAAATAATTATTTATTTATTTAATTAAATTAATTATTATTCTTCAATTTGACCAGAGAGTTGAGAGAGGGAGAGAGAGAGAGAGAAAGCAAGCCCTCAGGTCCAGTACTTGAACTATGATCAGCCATGTGGGAGTCCAGCGCCTTAACCACCATGCCATTTGCCCGCCCCTGTAACTTAGCATTAAGATATACTTGATAGGGGCCAGATGGTAGCGCAGTGGTAGGATGTGCTCTGTGACACAATTCCACATGGGAAGCTCTTTGGTTTGGGTCCTAGGACCTTCCTGAAATGCTGGGCTTGTGCTTGCCCTTGAACCAGGGTTGGCTGAAGGCTGGGATGCATGGCTGCATTAGGACCGTGTTGAAGGTGTTATATGTCTCTCTCTCTCTGTCTTTGTTTCTACATCTCTCTCTTGTTTATAGAAGAAATAAACTTGAAAAAAAAGATATGCTTGTTAGTATATCTCCATTGTGATATCTGCCTGTACAGAGGGTCAGCATTTTTTTCTATGTTTTTTTCCCCCGGAGCAATTTTGTCACTTCATGCTCACTTCCATTAACTCATGTGTTAGAAACAAGCTGTATGCTTATATGCCAGGGCATGGCCTAGCTAACATGTATCTTTTCAGTTTGGAAGTCTTGAGCTAAGAAGCAAAGAGAAGTGGTTAACTTTCTTTTTCCTTGTATTTCACAGTAACCTTCATTCAACATTATCTTTTGCATCATGAAAAGGCTGTGGAATAGGGAGACAATGATGAAGAAGACAGGATTTCTGTGCTCAAAGTGACCTATTCAGAATAGTCGTCATCTCACATCAGGCTTCCGTGTCATGGACACACTGAGAGGAGTGAAGTGATGAAATCACCACTGATAGGCGTCATGACTCTTGGCATCATATTTTGTTTGACTAAGAAGACACTTACTTAGTGAGAGAATGTAATCAACGAAGGCTAGCAGAAGTCATAACCTTGGAGAGGATTGCTTCACATACCATATCATTTACTTTCCTCCCCCACAGGACAGAACGGTAAGGGCAGCTGGGTTAGGGAATTTTAACTGGAATACTTGAAACCTCATCATTCTCAAAGACGAAGAACAAGGGAAATAAAACTAGTCAGAAACCACAAGGGCCAAGGTGTTCTAATCCAATTCTAGGCAAATATTTAACACTTGGGTCTCCTTCCTTAATACCTTTCATCAGAAGGCCGGAGGCAAGAGGTCCTGAGATTTCTCTGCTCCCCAGGGACAGGTGGAGCGACATTGTCGAATGGCAAGGGTGATGGTAATCACCCAGGGCTGGGAGTTGTTGAACTGGTGGTAATTGTCTGAATCTTGCCATTGACATTTCTAGGAAGGAATTTTGGCCTTGATGATTTTGGCTGCAAAAAGTTGGTAAGAAAACTCTCTACTCTCTCTTCCCATTTTCATCTCCTCTGGGGGAGAGGAAAACCCCAGACACCAGTTTCTGGTAACATAAGAAGCTTCCCATAACCATGTACTATAAATTATAATAAACATGGCCCTTCTCTTTCTCTTCCTCTTTGTTTTGCTCTCTGAGCAATATTGTAAGCGTCTACACAATCTCATAAGGGACTTGGCTGACAATCAGCTGAAGACACTATTCCTTTGGCAGCAGTTCCAAGTGACGAGACTAATGTATTCCTTTTTGCTTAGTTTCTGCAAAATTGCATTATGGTTCTATGCAGCTAAGGGACTGGAAGAAGAAACCTTAGCATAGAGAAAGTTAAGGCACAAACTGGCAAATTAAGCAGTATTATTCTACCAACTTGAAATCATGGGTCCATGAATGAATAGCAGAGTTCTGTCTCCTTGGGGTTCAGCTTACTGACAGTCAGTGAAGTCCAAGGTCTCTGGGTGACTAAGAGGAAACTAGGGCTATGATAAGTCTCCATAGGAATGAAATCTATTGGGCTTTGTTTCCTATGTGGCATATCCCCCTTTATCTATGCCTTTGATCTCACAGAATCTGGGTGTATTTGAGACTGAAGGACACGCTGGCACGAATGCCTCTGGAAACAAAGACTACTGACTAGCCTGCCCAAGTGAACCAGAGAAACAGACTATTTGTTACAGTCATTTATTTAAAAAATTCATTCACTTATTTTTTTTTCTCAGAGAGAGAGAGAGAGAGAGAGAGAAGAAGAAAGAACACCCTCAGCAGGATCTTGATGGCATAATCTAACCCTGTCTCAGCCAGCTCCAGAGTATGGACACATGTGTGTATATGCAGAGTATTATAGTCTTTTTCTACCTATCTTAGATCCATAAACTTTCTTAACTCCAACACTAGCTACACTTGTGATCTAGGAAAAACCGTGAGCTTTTTTATTCCACTTCTCCAATTCCTCATGTGCAAAGGAGTTGGGGAAGGCAATAATCGGAGTTCTCTTCCTGCTCACTGCTCGCTTCAAATGAATTTATGAAACCAATCCTTACTTTCTCTAAATTACATTATTGATAGATGCAAATATTTTTTCCTTTCTCCTAAAAACAAATAAATACATACAATATATATTTTAAAATAATTATTTATTTATTTAATTCCATTTGTTACCATTATTATTTTTTAATTTGACGGGGTGGGGGGGGGAGCGGGGAAGAAAGCAAGTCACTGGGTCCGGGACTCAAGCCACAGTTGGCCATGTGGGAATACAGTGCCTCAACTACCATGCCACCTTCCAGACCCCCAATATATACTGTCTTATCAAATCTTAATTCCGTTTTCTAACCATTGCTTCAAATTTTGTTACATAAAGAGTGGAACAAATTCAGATCAAATGCATTATCTTCATGAAATTAAGTCAAACTTTAGCTGGACTCAGCTTAATAAACTGCAATGAAATGGAACAGCCTGGAGGAGTCTCTCTTTAAGGCCAGACCACATCTACAGATGCTGTAGGAAGTTCAGTCTCACATAAAATAAAGGTGCAAAGAATTCTCAAGTCCAATTCGTATGCCTCTTGATAGTTTTTCTGCCTCTTCCATGTACTAGATAGCTCATAAGAAGACCTCTTTCAGTCATTCACAGTTTCAGCTCTCCCCACTTACTCTGAATTATTTATTCATGTGTGTTTTAGTTTGCTGTGGATCATCTTGCCGCTAACCTCGGTAATGGTTCTTTTGTTTCTGGGCTTGGGTTGCTCTTTGGACTTGATGGTGCATATTGTGGTCTCAGCAGACTACCATGGCACTCTATTCCCATAGATACACTGCTTTAAGCCTCCTTGGTTGAAACCAGCCTAGGTCTCTATCCTTGTGAGCTCTGCTGCTATGGACATGAAAAAGGAATGTGGAAGCAGATGATAGTCTAAAACCTAGGTGTGCAGTGGGAATCAAGGATGAATATTAGGGTCTTACCTCCTGGACTAGATAGAGTTCAGAGTTTGGGTTCCAGTTCCTGATGGGTTCCAGATCCTGATGAAGGAATCAAGGATGAATATTAAGGCCTTGCCTACTGGAATACATAGAGTTCAGAGTTTGGGTTCCAGTTCCTGATGAGGATGATTTTTTTAAAAATTTCAGAATATTTGCATATGTAGTGAGATATCTTATGGAATGGACCCTAACCCTAGACATACAATTAATTTATGTTTCTTATACACCTTATACATATAGCCTGAAGGTAATTATATGCAATACTTTTGTACTAAAGCATTTTGACTGTCACCCACTACATGAGGTCAGGTGTGGAATTTTCCACTCTTGGTATCATGTTGGCACTCAAAAAGTTTGGGATTGTAAAGCATTTTGAATTTTGGGTCAGGGATGTTCAGCCTGTAATATTACCAACTATTTAAAAACACTTAACATGTCTGCATTTTTACCTACAGGGCCATAATGAATGGGTTGTCATTGGGGGAAGTGGATTTGAGAAACAGGTGCGTGGGCGAGAATAGCATGGCAGCATGAGTTGGGGTGGGGTGGGCAAAAGGGA